TCCCTCCCACTTGGAAACCCTTGTGTCCACCCCACTTGGAAACCTGTGTGTCCCCCTCTTGGAAATTCATGTCCACCCCACTTGGAAACCCTTGTGTCCACCCCACTTGGAAACCTGTGTGTCCCCCTCTTGGAAATTCATGTCCACCCCACTTGGAAACCCTTGTGTCCACCCCACTTGGAAAACCACGCCCATCCAAATTAGAAACCCTTGTCCCCCAAAATTAGAAACCCATGTGTCCATCCCACCTGGAAACCTGTGTGTCCCTCTCTTGGAAACCTTTGTCCACCCCACTTGGAAGGTGATGTCACCAGTGGTGGCCTGGGAGCCCCCACCTGGGCTTTGCCCAGAGTTTCTTTCAAGGAACAGGCCAAAATGAGACTAAAGAGGAGGAAAAGTGATGGTGCCAAGTTTGGGGACCCTCAGGACACCCCAAGGGACACAAAACTCCTGGTGTCAGGTTTTGGGGTCCCCCACTGTCCCCCAGATTTTGGGATGCCCAGAACCCCCCGCTGTCATCCCAAGGGACACAGGGAACACCCGGTGCCAGGTGTTGGGGACTCCCAGGACCCCCCTCTGTCCCAGTGGAGGAGATCTTCCCTCATTTGCCCAACGGTTTTAAACTCTAATTTAATTTGCCAAGGAGTGGGAGTGAGGAATTAAGGGATTCTTGTGTCGTTTGTGTCGGGAGAGCACAGGGATCATTCCCATGGCTGGGAGCTGTGCCTGCAGGGGTCGATTTTCAGCAGCTGGATGAGCATGGAGTGAGTGTGGGCTCAAGTTTCCTCCTGTTGGGGTGATCCCCTCTCTGTGTCTGCAGGCAGGAACGTGCAGCAGTGGTGGCCTCACACAAACCCAGGGAATTGGGTTATTTTTTGCCCAAACACAGCTTGTTTCTCAGAGATTTAACACGATCTGACTCCAGCGAGCTGCTGAAGACATTTGTTCTTTGCTCTAAAACAGTTTTCCCTTCCCATCTTCCATCTTTTCTTATCTGGAAGGAGAACACGATGCACTGAGTGATTAAACCAGGATGGATTTTTCTGGGGATATTTCCCTCCAAGCCGTGGCTGTTTCCCATCCCCCTGGTGTGGGAACAGGGGTTGATTATACAGGGAATATTATGTCATTTCTCTCTTCTCTCCTTGCAGGCGTTTAGAAAATTGGGGAAGTATTATATCCTTTTTCTCTTCCCGCAGGTGTTTACAAGATATGGGAAATGCTACATGTTCAACTCAGGAGAAGAAGGGCGGCCTCTCCTCACCACAGTGAAGGGTGGGACAGGCAATGGACTGGAAATCATGCTGGACATCCAGCAGGATGAATATTTGCCAATCTGGGGAGAAACAGGTAAGACCTTTTTCCTCCGGCGATTTTTTTGGAAAGACCTTCCCATCCCATCCCACCCAACGTCTAAACCAGCTCTTGAAAGCAAGAGGAGCTCAGTCTGTGCAGAAATGAGTTGCTTTTCTTCTTGGTGTCTGTGGCTGCCAGTTGGGACCAGCATTTCTGTATTTCAGCTCATCTGAGAGTGCTGGACTTGGAAATCTTGGCGACAAAGTTTGGGAGGCCAAACAGGAGTGTCACCACCTGTCCTGGGACAAGGATGGGCATTTTTGGGTGACAGGAGGTGTGGTGTCTCCTTCAGAGGCTCCAGCACGTCCCTCTTCCTTGGAAAAGCATTTTTTGGAGGCCAGGTTCAGGGTGGACCTCCAGCTGCTCTCTGTGTTTTCCTCTTCCTTGGAATTTGGGAACATTAGTTGCCCTGATAGTTGTCTCTGCTGGGTTAGTGCTGCTTGGGTGGGTCAAGGTCTGGGTTCTTTGGACTGGGAGCATTTGGGATGGATGGAATCAACTGGATTGACCATCTTGTGAGAGCTGCACTGCAGCCCTCTGGTCCTGGCACAGGAAGGTTGGAACTTTGGACTGTCCCACAGGTCTCATGGGTCAGGATGGTGTCTTAGTTTAACAAGATTACAATTAGAAATTAAGAAACTTCAGGTAGAAATGTGGAAAAGGAGAAAAAAAAACAACAGCTTTTTATTGACAAAATCTGAATAAACAACAAAATGTGCAATCAAAAACTTCCAGAAGAAACAAAACCAAGTCCCAATTCCCTAGTTCCCAGTTCCCACCATCCCAACCCAGGTGCCACAGTGGGAATTTGCTGGCAGAACTGGTGCCAGTTCCTTCAGTGAACCTGGAGTGTGACACGTGCCACCAAAGCCACCCACCTGTTCAGGGCAAACCTTATCAGCTCCTCAGCAGTGGCAGCTGCAGTTCTCATGAAGCCACTGTTGACATTTGAAACAAAGCATCCAAAAAAATAAAAAAACTGTTGGAAAAATTGCCAGCCTCTATTTTGTCTGGCAGCTCAAGGCAGAGCTTTGTGGGGAGAGTTGTTCAGGAGGAGGAGGAGGAGGTTGTGTTTATTTTTGGTATCAGGAAAAGGAGTAAATATCACTTCAGGTCTCGTGTCACCGTTGCTCTGTCACCCTGTACAGATGAGGCCCCTCGAGCACCTTTCAAACTCCAGCTCAGCAGCAGAGAAGGGGATTGGAGTCATTCAAAACTTAAAATTTATCTGTGTGGGGTTTGACTCTCCCGATTCCAGCAGCTTCCCGTGGTCCTGACACTCAGGTCAGGCTTTCAGAGCAGGAGCTTTGCCTTCCAGTTTGGAGATCCAAGTCAGCCTGACCTGGCCCAGGGGAGGGGGAGGAAACCCTCCTTTGGAATAATCATTTCTGGTGCCCTGGTTGGGAGTCTTGTCCTTTTACAGGCTGTTCACAGTGCAGAGGGGGAAGATGAAGAGCATCTACCTCTGATGTTTTCCTGGGGGAGGTCGTGGGGGCAGGAAACCACCTCACTGATGGCTCAGGGGTGTCCCAGGGGTGGACAGACAGCCCTGGAGCTCTGTGTGTTCAACCTTGTTGGGTTCTTGTATCATGGAATCACAAACTGGTTTGAGTGGGAAGGGAATTTACAGACCATCCATTCCCACCCCCTGCCATGGGCAGGGACACCTTCCACCAGCCCAGGTGGCTCCAACCCATCCAACCTGGCCTTGGACACTTCCAGGGATCCAGGGGCAGCCACAGCTTCTCTGGGCAACCTGTGCCAGGGCCTCCTCACCCTCCCAGCCAACAATTCCTTCCCAATATCCCATCTCTCCCTGCCCTCTGGCAGTGGGAAGCCATTCCCTGTGTCCTGTCCCTCCATCCCTTGTCCCCAGTCCCTCTCCAGCTCTCCTGGAGCCCCTTTAGGCTCTGGATCAGATCTCCCTGGATCCTTCTCTTCTCCAGGTGAACCCCCCAAGCTCTCCCAGCCTGGCTCCAGAGCAGAGGTTTTTATTGGACCCCTCTGAGGTTCTCCATGGACAGGAAGGTTCTCCACAGCCCCAGGATCTGCCTTGTGGAGAATCTTTAGGAGAAACCCACCCAGAAATGTGCTGCCTTCAGAGCTCTGCTTCCCTGCCACTGTGATTTTGGGAAAGGTGGCTCAGTCTTGGGTGGGGAAATCAGCCTCTCATGACACAGGAGGCAAAAAAGAAGCAAGTGAAGAAATTAAATAGGAGGGAAAACAATGAGGGAGGAAGCTCAACCAAGTCTTGTGGGAGGAGGGTTCCAGTCTGGTGCCTCCACATCTGTGAGCATCACTCTCATCTGGAGGCCAGGGGAGATGGCAGCTGCTGCTCTGCTTGCTCCCTTCAGACAACCTTCAAGCCCTGCCTGTGGCAAAGGAGGCCTGTCCATGGCCCTGGACTTCAGACCTGAGGTGGGGAAAAACCCAACCCCAAGTGCCTTCAGTGCTGTCAAAAATCTTGTGGCTTTCAGGGTCTTTTTGAGTGCAGACTTGGCATCTGAGCCCACGTGGAAAGGAACAATGGAACAATGTCCTCTGTTGATTGTCCTGCCCCCCATGACCTCCCCACTGCTAATCTCACACCTATTACACTGAAACTTGTACTAAGCTGAGGATTAGAGGCACAGGGAGGGATTCTCACAGCCCTAGAACTGGGTTGAAATTTTACAAGATTCAAGGCAAAACTATAAAAGCAGAGCCTGGATTGGTCAGATGGTGGAGGAGAAGCTCTTGGACTCGTTACAAGGAAACTTGGCCATGTTCTTACAGGCTCAGGTAGAGCTGGTACTTGACTTTGAAGCCTGTAAAACATTAATCTTTGCCTTTCAACAAAAGACTTTTCATCTCCCACGTTTGTACAGCGCCTTGTACAAGATGTCTTCAATCTTCATGGAGCTCTCTGGACACCACCAGAATCCAAAATATTAACTATAGTGGTTAATAGTTGCTGTTCCCATGGAAACACTTAGCTCTTAGTAGGTAAGTGAAGGAGTTGATTATTTCCAAATATTTGCATAATAATGTAAATGTGTTTGGAATTAAATCTCCTCAGCTGCTGCCACTGGGACTTCCCAAAGTTGGCTTTCTAAGGAAAGGCTTTGCCAAGGGCACGGAGCTCTTAGCAGGGAACTCCAACCCTGGCTGTGGAGGGGGATGAAGGTGGATGTGGGGTGGGATGTTGGTGTTGCAGTGCCAAAGGCAGGTGGGCATGGGGAGCTCCAGCCCTGGGGAACCTCCAGGGTGGAAGGAGTTGAGTTTTTAATTCCCTGGAAGTGTCCAATGCCAGATTGGATGGGGCTTGGAGCAACCTGGGCTAGTGGAAGGTGTCCCAGCCATGGGACTGGATGGTCTTCAGGGTTCCTTCCACCCCAAAGCATTCCATGATTAAAACCTGACCTGCTCCATTCCCTCCTTATCTTTAACTCCTTAGATGTTTTCCAGACTGGTTTTGCTGCTCCATTTTCCCAGGAACCATCCTGGGCCCAGCAGCTGCTCTTTTGGCTGCCTCTTAGACAATGATTTTTGTGTGGTTGAGTCACCTGACCTTTTTTTCCTGCAGTTCCCAACTTTCCCTCAAATGTGGCTGCTTTCCCAGCTGGCTGTCCCATGTTAGTCCAAGTTTTCCCAGAGCTTCCTGGGGCTGTCCCCACCCAGCTGCTGTCTCAGCCCTGGTGTTGCACCCCATTAGGGCTCCAGAAATGCTAAAGGTGGACCAACCTCCATCACCACAGGGGGGCCTTCACGTGGAATAACATTCATTTCTCTGGTCCATGGGGGTGCCCTCAGCTTGTGCTTCCTGCAAGGGTCTATCCCAGAGGAAACACCGACCCAAAGAACCCTCCAGGCCCTGCCTCTCCATCCCACCCATGGCCAGGACACCCCATAGGACCTTTCCTCCCTCACCCAGGCCCCTCAGACCCTGTGGGCACAGGGCAGCTGTGAATCCTTTGGCTCCAGGGGTGATTTTTACCAGCACTGAGTTCAAACAGCAGCACCTGATCCTGTATTTAACCCCGAGGCTGCTTTGGTTTTCCTCTGGATTTGGAGATGCCACAAAACCACCTTTTCCTTCACAGCCCCTCATGGAAACAGTCAGAGCGTGGACTCCCCAAATCCTCCTTTTGCTGCTGCCTCAGGATCTCAGCTTGCTTTTTTTAAATGGTTCTTTGCAATGCAAATAAGGAGCAAAGAAGGAAAACATTGGTTTGGAGCTTGGGATGGGGCTGCTGCTGGAGCTGCTGCCACCGTGTCACGTTGGCATATGGTCTGTAATGCAAGAAGAGGTTTAATTATCACTGACTGGGCAAACAGAATGAAGTGGATTGTCATCCTAGGAAGTCTTTAACCGAGGATCCATTGATATCTTGGGAAGCTGAAATATCTCGTCTGACAAATGACTTGTGAGAGGAAAATATTCCTTTTGCTCATCTTCACGTGCAAAGCCGTTGTTTGAACATGTGAAATGTCTGTGCAGCCTGATTTTGGGAGGGCCAGGGCACACAGACGGCTCCAGTCTGGATTTCCAAGTGCAAAGGAAAAGGGGGAATTTGGCTGTGTGTGGATGTCGGGGCATCAGGAGGCCTCGTCGTCCCCGGGCGCGCAAAAATATTGTGTCAGGGCTGTCAAAATCGTGAGGGGGGGTGGGAAAAAAAAAGTGATGATGCAAAGGAAAAGAGATGGAAATCTGCAGCTTTGGAATTTTTGCGCTTCTAGGACCGAAATTTTCCGGCGTTTTATTTTAACCCCTGAGCTTCCCAGACGCGGAGAGAGGTGGGGAAATAATCGTGGCTGAAATCTTCACATCACTTTTGTGCTTTGAAGAAAACCTTTAGGTATTCCTGGAATAAACCTGATCCGTTCCAGATATAAATCTGGAAGTGTCCAAGGCCAGGTTGGACGGGGCTTGGAGCAACCTGGGACAGTGGAAGGTGTCCCTGCCCAGGGCAGGGGGTGGCACTGGATGGGCTTTAAGGTCCCTTCCAACTCAA